AACGCTCTCCGCCTAGCTGAGCAGGCTTTGGAAACTGGTCGAGGAACTCTAGGGACACTAGCAGCACAGGGAGAGCGTATCCATAAGTACGTTAAACAGATCTGGACACGTTTGTACACAGCTAACTCGTTCCTAGCACGGAACGCAACCTCGACCTTGCCTCTATCCAGAGCGACAGAGCAAATGGACAGACTAAGGAACTGGCCCGTAAGGACGCAACCCCCAACACGTAACATTCATGACTAACCCGTATCCAGGCATCAACGCAAGCATGTTCTCCATCGTGCCCAACCCCTTCACAGGCAACTCCAAGCGCGAGAAGCAAATGCAACAAGCCATGGACCAGCACGCACGCGACCGTGACACCCGAGAGCAAACCAACCGGGCAAAGTGGGAATCTGGAGCCCGCGCAAACGAAGCTCAGCGTAAGCTGGCGACAGGCGGTGGCCCCCAAGGCAACAACAAGAGCTCGCTGGCTGCGCGCTCCAAGTTCCAGTTCGAGGCTGACGAGGAGGATGACGAGATGGAGAACGAGATCGATAACAACTTGGGTACGTACTCCCCATCTATTCCATTGATGCGTGCATTCTAACAGATTTCTTTTACCAGACCAACTTCATGGCATGGCCAAGAACCTCAACCAGCTCGGTCGCGCGATGGGCGAGGAGGTCGATAACCAGAACACGCACATTACACGCATCACTGGCAAGACAGATTCGGTCGATGACAAGATTGCCAGGAACAGGCTCAAGTTGGATCGCATCCACTAGGTCTGCACTCCAGTAAGGCGAGCGGGATGCTTGTCCTCGAGTGCAACCAAGATAACTCTAGGGTTAGGCTAGCGTGATGGCATCGATCGAGATATAGAGCTTGGGATACGGCATCATAGGCGTTTTGGACACAATGACACCATTTTCATCTTGATCTTGGTACGGGTCCACCGTACTGGACACGACACGTAATATTGCTTATGCGTGAAGCTCAACTATGTATATTCAACGCCAGGACAGTACTCCAAGAAACATGTTTCCAGTGATCGAAGGACTGTCCATGTTATACCACATGCTCTCATCACTCATTACCCACCAATCGCCATACTTATGCCATACCTACGCCAACAACAGTTTGTAACTCGCCACTTCGAATGCGCGAACCTCGATTGGTACACCCTTCTCCTTCACCTCTTCCGCTCCTACTCTCATGTCGCTTATGTCCAGCGGCTCACCCTCTTCGTCCTCCAACGCATTGACCTTGATCACCTTCTTGACATCGACGTCACCCCAAGTAAGCACACCCTTGCTCTTTCCACCCAGACTGTCGTAGATACGTAGAATAATCGAATGACCCTTCTTGATCGGCAGTTCACCACGGCTGACATCCTCGTCGTCTTCACCGCGCTTGATGGTGTCGAGCACAAGGTTGGGTGCGCCGTAGATGTGGAAGGGGTTCAGAAGACCACTGTGCATGGCGGATGGCGGGGCGTGCAGACCCTGGCGACCGACAATCTTGAGTGGATTGTTGAACTCGAAGGCCTTGCGGACTGTGCGTTCATCCATACCGCCCTTGTGGGGGAAGATGGCGTAGCGAGTCTTGTGGCTGCCCATGTCGGCATGGGCGTCGGGGGCCTTGGGAGAGCGGAGAAGGGAGAGACGCATAACGTTTCCGGCGACTGCGAAACCGTACTTGCTGTCGTTCAGGATCGAGACACCGTAGGTAGCCTCGGACAGATCGGCCCACTTGTGGCAGCAGACTTCGAATTTGGCCATGTCCCATGTAGTGTTGTAGTGTGTGGGTCGGCGCACGATACCGAATTGCGTCTCGTAGCTGGCTTCTGTATTCACAATGTCGACTGGGAATTCGACCTTGAGGAACCTCATTGTCTCGTGCCATTCGATCTCTGCGTCAAACTCGATAGCACTGGGTGTGTTTCCTACGGCTGCAGGCAGGCTCATGGTCGTCTTTACCCAGGACTTGTCTGAGACCTTAGTCTCAATCACCAGGCTCACACGGTGAACGCTGTTCTCCGCAATGGTCACCTTGCTGGGCTCGAGTTCCTGCCGGGACTGAAGGTGGTAGACTTCGACATCCCAAGCTTGCCAGTAAAGTGGCTTGTCGTCGTAAATTACAAGCTGACCGGCTTTGGCACCCTTCGGGATCAGTTCGCGATCGGCGGCAATATCGAAGAGTGAGGTAATGGCACCGTTGTTGACCTGTACAACGAATTGCGAGTTGCGGAGTTCGTAAACATTGGGATGGATCTCCTCAATAGTCGCCTTCTGAGCAGGGTACGCAGAGTGGAGTGGGAACACGTCTAGAGCGCCCAAACCCTTCTGAGATCCGTTACGATGAGCAAGACCGTACTCTGCTCCTGGAGGACTATACTTCGTGCGACTTGCCTCACTCGGCAACTTGATGATTTCGGTACGGCTCCATGGTAAGGTGTTTATCGCGAATAGCTTGGTGTCTTGATCCCAGCTGCTCTCATCGTTGAAGCCAAGTTCAGCAAGGGCGTCGGAAAGCAGCCTCTCTCCAGTAGCAAACACTTCGGAGTAAATCTAAAGGGGTCAGTCATAAAGTCAAGTTTGGGGATCAGTAACATACCCGATCGGAGTCGTCGTAGCACATTTCGATGGAGCTTCCAGGCAGACAGTCATGGAACTGACACAAGAGCACGTTCTCCCACATGTCATCAATGTCCTTCTTCGGGTACTTGTACGAGCTCTTCTTGCCGAAGCTGTTCTTGATTGTCGCCAAAGTCGCCAGGTACTCAATGTCCCTCAGCATGATCTCCGACTTTCTGTTGTTGCGCTTGTTGTTTGACTGTGTAGTGTATGTACCACGGTGAAGTTCGAAGTACAGCTCGCCATACCATGTCACGAGCTCAGTACCATTCTCGACCTTCTTCTCCAGGCGGTCGAAGAAGTCGTCTGCTGAGTCGCCTAGCTTGACGCGAGGCAACAGACCAGCAGTGTCGCTGATACCACGGCATCGCCTGAGTTTCTCAAGGTGCTGCCATGTCGGACCACCGCCTCCGTCTCCTTTGCCGAAGACAATCAGCGATGACTTGTCTTGGTCGAGCGACTTGTGCTGTGTGACGCTGCGCTTGACGTCACCAAAGTTCGCTTCGCACGTATACGTCTCAGATGGCGGCATATGGCAGATGACCTGACTGTTGTCCAACGCGACCCAGTTGAATGTCGTATGTGGGAAGTTATTGATGTTGTTCCAGCTCAGCTTCTGAGTCAGGAACCTGGTCATACCCGAAATGCGACAGATCTGTGGTAGTTGCGTCGAGTATCCGAAAGTGTCGGGCAGCCAGAAAGTGCGACACCGCTGGCCAAATTTGCTCTCGAAGTAGCGCTGACCGTACAAGAATTGCCTGATGAGTGACTCTCCGCCAGGAAGGTTGGTATCGTGCTCGACCCAACTACCGCCGATAGGCTGGAAGCTTCCTTCCTTGACCTTCTTCTTAACGCGATCGAATGTGGAAGGGTAGTACTGCTCGAGCCACTTGTATTGCTGCGCTTGCGAGCAGCAGAAGCGAAGCTCGGGATATCGCTCGATGAGGTCGCACTGGTTCGACCAGGATCGGTTGACCTTTCGTTTGGTCTCGTCGAATGGCCAGAGCCAACACGTGTCGATGTGGCAGTAGCCGATACCGTGTACGATAGCCTCCTGGTCGGTCTCGTATACTTTGTGCGAGTCTACGTCCTTGCCGACGTACTCAGCCGCAATCTTGCGGCATGCTTTGATACTCTCTTGGCTTCCATTGCCAGCAATGAAAGTGTCGATGATGCGGTTGCCGATCTGCTGGGCATCATGGGCCTGTGTAGAGTCCCCAGGGAACTCGCGAGCGGCATCTCCAATCTCCCAGAAGTCAAAGTATAGACCTCTCGCCTCCAGGTTGACCGCCTGGACCTCAGCAGTGTGAAGCGTGTAGTACTTGTCTGGGTCTGGTGGCTGAATCGAGTCGCCACCGGGTGCATTGCCGAACATGCCGTTGCAGGCCATCTCGATGTAGAAGGTATGCTCTTTGCCGTCTCTGAACTCCTTGGGCAGGATCCATTGCGTGCGTTCGCCGCCACCGGTGAGTCCGTGAACAGTGTGTCCATCTTCAGTCCAAATCAGGCCCTCATTGTTTGCGTCCCAGACGAATTCGAGGTGTTCCTTGTCAAGCATGTGCTTGGGCACCGTAAGTTGGACCCTGAACCAGTGGGTCGACCAACTGGGGCCGAATGACTCGCCGACTTTGGTGGGGTGGAAGGCATGGGAGGTGGCTTCCTTGAAGAGCGGGCGCGAGAGGTTCGGGGGCGAGTAGACGGAGAGCTTCACCCAGTCGGTTCCGGACGCGACAGCTTCGGTGAGCTTGCTGCATGACGTATGAGCATCTTGGAGCTGGAGATAGAGGAGAAGGAAGGCGTGAAGTTCGAGACATACCCAATCAGACTCTGTTCCCTGTACTGTCCTGCATCGAGGAACTGCCTCAGTCGGCTCTGGTAGATGCTGTGGATCTGCTTGCCAACGGGACCAGCCGCCAGCTGTGGGTAGTCTTTGGCCACGGGCACGGGCATGTTGCGGTGCGATTCTCCTCCCATGGTGGATGAGGCTGGAGATGGGGATTGGGACTCGGTCGAGGCGGTGTGGAAATGTCGACAAGGTCAACAGCACGCTACAGCAGCTGTGGTACCTTGCATGGCTCCGGCTGTGTTGGGGAGGAGCTCTCCCCGCATCTTGGCGATGGAGGCCCATGCTCCCTGCCCCATGATCCATTACCCACTCATCTCCACTTGGTCCCATCTTGCAATTAAACTTCCTTTTCCAACCTTTGCGGATGATCGGGATCTCGAGGCGGTGAATTTGCCAATACTCGTCCATTCAGAGTGAAGTTGTAGCGTATTTGGGTGACATTGGGGTGATCATGCAGGCGCGACATGTGGTTTCACATCGCTGTACTCCGTCTGCGTCTGACTTGTCTTTTGTATGCCAGGTCCATGTCGTGCTCATCCGGTATGTCTGGGCAAGTGTCGATCTTTCTTCTCTGTGTGCATCTTCAATATGCCCCGAGGCATTGTTCGCGTCCTCTTGGTACTCTTATCATCCGTGACCTCATCTCCAATGTCTTCAATACTTCGTTTCCTCTTCTTCTCCTTGCTGTGAAGGAATTCGTGCATTCTTCGGTGCCCGTTTGTACCAACTGTCCCTTTTCCCATTGTGTGTTCATCTTCGGGTAGATATCCCACCTCTACAGCCCCTAGATGTCGATTGATAGAATTTGCCAGCATCGTTTCACCAAGCAAGACCGCCATGCGATCATCCCAACGTCGCTTCTTGTTCAAGATATTTCGTATGCTGTAGACGTCTTCGATTTCACGACGCTGGGCCATCGTATCGGCCTCTACCTGCGGTAGTCTGCTGGCTACCACATTGGCCGCTGGACCTCGATAGCCTGTATCACCCTGCTCGACTTCAAGCGGTTCGCAAGGCTCAGCTTTCAAGCTGTCGTGGCTGACTGAGGACGACGTTGGCCCTTGTGAGAGTGGTGTGGAGGAGTCGCGATACGTCGAGGGACTTGTCGCCTCACCATTGCGCTCGTCTGGCCATGAATTAGGCAATATGTACTCGGCTCGCAGCGGGCTGTGGCCATGTATGGGATAGTATGGATCGCGCCAGGGTGTGTTTTGGGGCGGATATGAGGTGAGGAGGCACGATGTCAAGTCCGAAACGTCCAGAGGCGGCGTTTTACTAGCCAGAGGTGTGAAGATTAATGAAGATAGTAAGTCAAGCATGTCGCTGATGTGATGTGCAAATGGGCTTGTGGATGAGGAGGTAAGTGTCTTCAGCAGCAAGGGTCTTGACATCGTAGAGGTGTTCAAGTTTCTTCTATTGTCTTTATCAAAGCGGAGCGCGCGTCAAGCTAGTCTAATCTGGGAGACAGCATTCACTGTGCGACTTGACAATAGTAACGTCAGTACAGAGTGGGAGAAAGTGAAGGTGCGCACGAATTTGCCAAGGTGAAAGTGAAAGGGGACCAGGGCCAGTTTCTTCAGATAGCAGGATATGAAGATACGCGGTAGAGAGAATAGAATGATGTTGATTATCTTGTGATAGTTAAGAGGGTACACGATTATGTTTACACAAAGGCAGGAATGATCAAGTGAAACGTCGATGTTTGTTGCGTTGTGATAAATATTGCAGAATTCAAGACATGCCATCCAACTAAGTAACGAATAAAAACTAGGGAGATATAGCTACACTCTTGAGTGAGCTTTACACTACCGGCTACAGATGGGACACCCACGACGCATCTAACACTGACTCTTACTATCGGCAACTCTCTGCCCACCAACCGCACCGTTAAACCCTTTCAGCAGCGTATACCTCCCCTTAACACTAACCTTATAAGTCGTGCTCTTCGTCTGATCTGTACTTGTCGCCCCATTACAAGTAACACTACTCTTAACCCCCGTCAAACTAGACTGACTCCCCGAACTCGAACTACCTCCCTGATTCGGCGAATCAACACCCGCCGCACACGCCGCATAAGCCGAGCTCTTCAGCCATTGCGTTTCCTTGCCATCGGAAGATGTTCCAATGGGAATGTAGAGGCTGTTGACCTGCTCTGCTTGCGCGGATGCAGCAGGCCCGGAGTCGGCGGCGCAGGAGGATGCTGCTTCGGCGCCCTTGGCGTTCTTGATGGACTGGGAGTTTAGGGCATTGGCCGTGTTTGCGGAGGTGAAGATGAAGACTTCGCCCAGGGCATTGGTCGTAGCTACTGCGGTGCTGTTTGCGGCGCCGGATGAGGACGTGGAATCGGAGTTTGTGCCGTCGAGGGCGGCAGCTGCGGCGGATGCGGCGTTGCCTGAGGAGAAAGATGTCGTGATCACGCGAGCTTGTCGGCCGTCTGCCAGTGCTGTTGCGTTTGAGACGCTGTTTCCACCTTGCTGCGAGGTAGAGTCTGAGTCTGTGGTGATGTTCCTAGGTGCTGAGGGATTGATAGAAGTAAACTGTGTGTTGTATGGCTTTCCGTCTGCATAGTTGGCTATCCAGGAGACGAGAGTGCCTGAACTGGCGATGAGTGGAATTTTGACTGTGTAGCCGTTCACAAGGAGTGCCAGAGGGTTGGATGATGACGGGTTGGAAGATGTTGGTACCCGCACGCCGAAAGAGTAGTCGATTGGGAGGGATATTTCGGGCAGGAGGGCTCGGATGCGGAAAATGGTTGGAAGGGCTGTGGCGGATGCCACGAAGAGGAATGGGGTGAGACGCATTGTAAAGTCTGGAGGTGAAGATAGTGGAATGAAATCAGTATATTTTTATTCCTGCCATATTATGCCCACGGTTTTATATGGCATCGCCGACTCCCATTGTGTCACACTGGTCGCGTTGCGTCATACACGAGTTGTAGTAGTGTTCAGTATTTGGCAGACCTTTTCCGTAGACACCTGTTGAGGTAAGTCAGGCGCTCCTTCTCGGGCCTAGATACTCCTACCTCATGGCCGAAAGGACGCCGGCATGTTGTAGTGTGCCCTAGCACCCGACCGGAAGCCTTCTTCGAGTGTAGAAGATGTGACTTCTAGTGGGCATATAGAAGCTATCAGAAGCCGCGTGGAAGAAGGCGTCGCTGTGACTTCATCGGTATCTTAGCCTCTCCATCACATCTAGATGAATCCGATGAACGGAACGACGGCCGATCCTCTTGCCCTCCTGGCTCCAGTCAAGGCGCGCCCAGCATGCCATGATGGAGGGGTACCTACAGCTCTTGCTAAGGTAGTGTGTACCGTACTTCTACTAAAACGTACATTAGCCAGCCCACATTCATTGCATCGAAAGATTTGAGCCAATCGGAAAAGTCGCAAAATCGAAAATGATTTGACCTGTTTTCGCACCAGTCACTGAGATATAAGACGTCGGCTGCTCGGAACGTAGTGACCTCTTCCAGCACGGCTACAAAGGCCGTGGTATAAGACGAACACTCTCCCATGCGCCCTCAATGGCTCTGGAAGATGACGGGAGCATTGTCTCATTGTGTAGGGTTTCGCTGACGTGTCCTCCATTTCCCGGTGAGATGCGACCGTCATTTTTACAAAAGGTACTGTCATTCTACACCACTAATGAAGAGATTCCAGATGGAGTCATTGTAGAACGAACGATGATGGCTTGCGATAATGCCCTGCGAAGTCTGCGGCAAGTACTTTGGTTTGTTCGTGTTACCTCGCTGCGAGAGGGGCCATTGGTATCGGTATCGCGACGAGACGTTTGGAAGTCGCACTGATACTGGCTTCAGAGCTGTTGCTACCAAACAGACACACGATGAAGGGAATATGCGAGTTGCTCGCACGGACGATTCCAAGACAGTGTGCAACATCTGCCGGGCGGTGGCTGCACTTATGCTATAGCACACGCCGGTGGCACGCTACGTACGGACCGGCCCATATCGGCTTGGGGCAGACATGGCTCAAGGAGCTTTTTGCATCCGACAGTTGACGCACGAGCAGCTTCCCGTCAAAGCAAGGAAATGAGAAGGGTGGCTGGGTAAAGCAGCAGCCTGCGCACAAATGTTGGGTCGCCCTGTCCTAGGTAGTCGAGAAGGCATGGACGTAGGTGATCTGGCAGACGCACGCTAGCTGGCTTCTCCTCGATCTCAGCGCACGATCAGGTCCGAGCGCTCACACCAGCCCGAATCGGTCTATCGAGAGGTCATTGATGTCATCCCGGCGCGCGTTTGAGAGGAACGAGACGTGCTCTACCAGCTTCCAAGGTGCTCTGGCCGCCAAACGGAATCGTGAAGACTTCATGATGTAGGTGATTTAGGGTGGCTGGCTGTTTAAGATGAGAACGGTTGAAGCTTGCGCAGGTACCTGTACGTCAGTGGAGGGAATCTGGGGTAGTACAAAGATTGTTTGCTGGACGCTTGTTCTTCTGAAATGTATCGCACGCTTCTCCCCCGACCGTTTTTGCTTGTTGCTGCATATCGCGCACCTCGTGTGACTACAAGTCCTCTTCGACTTGCTCTTCGCTCAGTCTCATCAAAAATGCCTTCCAAGACCGACGACAAATACACGGATCCGCAACTGCGTGATGAAGTCAAGGAGGAGATCCAAGCTGGTGACAAGGGAGGTGAGCCCGGCCAATGGTCAGCCAGAAAGGTAGGCTCCACTAGTGCGAGTGTCCTTTGCACCACTGACATAGACAATTGCAGGCACAGATGATGGCATCCGAGTACAAGAAACGCGGTGGAGGATATACCACAGACAAGAAGGACGAGAAAGCGAAGCATCTGGATGAGTGGACGGAAGAAGAGTGGCAGACAAAGGACGGCAGCGGAAGCGCAAAAGACAAGAACGGCTTGGAACACCGCTACCTGCCGAAGAACGCATGGGAGGAGATGAGCGAGAAGGAGAAGGAGGAGACAGATGCCAAGAAGCAGGAGGGAGGCAAAGAGGGCAAGCAACATGTGGCCAACACCTCCAAGGCTGCACAAGCGAAGAAAGACGCGACCAAAGACGGCGAGAAGAGTGGCTTTACCAAGATCGAGAAGAAGAGCAATACGGACTGCACGACACAATGGGACGACCCGGACCACATGGAGGAGGATCAACGGGCATACCAGAAGTTCTTGGAGAGCAGCCGGAAATCCAAGAGTCCCCCGCAGGACGATCATCCAGGTCAAAAGCGAGGACGTGGCGCAAACATAGAGGCTCCCAGTGCCAACAAGAGACAGAAGAGCACAGTCAACAAGCACGATAAGCCTATTGCAGCTGCCGGCGACATAACCCGTGTGCCGAAGAAGGGCCAGAAAGTTCAATGGCATTCGCTCCCTGGCTATGTTGACGGTGAGGTTGTGGAGGTTCTGTACGAAGAAAAGCAGGTCGATGGCAAGAAGGTCAAGGCAAGCAAAGAGGATCCCAGGGTGGTGTTGAAAAGCGACGCATCGGGGAAGATTTGCGTACACAAGCCTGAAGCAGTGTACTTCGATTAGAGCATGGTAGTGTTGCCAACTGGAGTTGGAAGCACGAGTTCACGGACGTTCGGAAGAGCACGTGACAGACTCAATCGTCCACGGGTGTCATCCTCGTTATTCGGCGTCGGTGAATAGGGAGGTGCCGTAGCATGTAGCAGCAGTGCTGTGTCAACAAAACCCATTCTATTACTCCAGACTCGATGCACGTCGTGGTCCAGGTGGCGATTGTCAGTAGCGCAGAGCTAGTGCTGTGAGGGTGTGATGCGGCACTCAAACCCAGGTAGTTGCCTGGATGCATCCAACGTCGAGGTCTGGACGTGGTTCACCAGGCGAAGGTCGAATAGGAAGTGTACGGAGCGGGAATAGCAAGCTGTTCGCTCCGCTGTGTGTACGTCTATATGACCGCCGACAGGACGGGCTTAGTTGCAGACGTAGCGGGCCTGGGCCGCATCCAGGCAAGACGGGGAAGGAGCAGAGGTGCATGCGACGAGGGTGTGATTGGGCGGGCAGGAGCGATCTGCACGTCTCCCCAGGTGGTGTATCCACGGCGACGCTGCAGGTCCTGGCGAGGGGCTCGTCTGTTGTCGCGCGCAATAACGAGGGCAGTCGTGCAACGTTGGGCCGTCTTGTCGAGGGGGCAGCGGTGCTGGTGCTCGGCTGATGATGGCGTGAACATGCGTTCGCGATGCTGCACAGCCGTTCGATGTTATTGTCCGAACGGATTAGTCGTCCTCTGGCTTTGTCGTAGCCGGCCTTGGGGAGGGGCTGGCGATCACTAAGGGCTGATTACACACAAGCGCTGTTTTGCAGAATAGTGTTTAGGTGCGCGCAGGCTGTCTGGGAGTGCGCTGCCCGTGGTTCGTCTCGTGTTGCCCAAGCTGACCAAAGACATGGGCGAGCAAATAGCACAACGGCCTGCACTCGTCCAGGGATTACCGGGAGCATGCAGCGAAGCGGTCAGTAGAGGGGGAGTCTGCGGCACGTCATGACAATGGGAGCAGAGAGGGAGGACTGCTGCAGTGCTGTACCCCGCCCTGTCGACAGGCCAACGGCCATCTCGATTGATTCGCGATTGATTGCCAATGCCGCAGCACTGTGGCCGTGTTGTTGGACAAGCCCGCGAGAGGTTCTGCCGTTGTGTTGGCGGCCAGGATGTGCCGTCACGGTCGGGCGCTCGGGCCAGTGAATGCACCCTCCCTACACCAGCATCATGCATACCCTTTAGCTCCGCGCGCACCAGTGCACGGCTGTTTTGCGTGTGACTTTCTCTCGACGCGTGCTTGGGTGCTGCGTGGGGACTTTTGCCAGCTGGATAGCGTGCCGACGAGGCCCATCCCATGCGTGCAGCTGCTCATCCGCCCGCCTGGCGTGCTTTCTTTTTTGTCAACGCCTTTCTGCCGACGCCTTGTGCTGCCGGCTGAGACGACGCCCATTGTGTACCCCTCTCGCCCCGTCCACCACCACGACGGCGACGACTGCCACGGCCGCCGCCTGCTGCCCACCGCCCTCATCCATCCCCAGCCCGCGACGCTCATTACATCGCCCAATTGCTCCCCTCGCCCTCGACCACGCTCGCACTACCATGCAGCTCGTCTAGTCCCCTCATCCCGGTTTCGAGACCCACTCTCGTTGCAGTCAGCAAGCACTACCGCACTGCTCGTCAACGCGTACCTTCCCCAGCTGCACGCCCGACTCTCCCGGACCGTCGCTTTTTTCCCACCATGGTCCTGGCAGCTCTCTGCGCATAGCTCAGCACCCGCCAGCCCTCGGGCACCCGCCCAATCCCCCCCGGCGACGGGCTCCCGCGACGATAGCACCACCCACCGCAGCCATGGCCGACGAGAAGAAACCCCCGACGCTGGCCCCGCCCGCAGTCACTGCCCTCAAGCAGGAGGCTGTCGGCACCAGCGGCCACCGACAGAACATGGAGCGCAGTGTTAGTCAGGACATGCGCAACGAGCGTGCAGACCTCAAGGAGGCCGCCGAGCACAGCCTGAACATCATCATGGACCTGGACCTCGAGGGCAAGATCCGCTATGTCAGCCCCTCGTGGACCGACGTCATTGGCTCCCTGCCCAAGGAAGTCACGGGCAAGCCTGTACTCGAAATCATATGCGGCGGTGCCGATGGCTTCGCCGAGACGATTGAGTCGGTTAGGAAAGACGACTCACGGAGTCACATTGCCCGTTTTACCGTACGACTGGGCCCTCATTCCATCCTGCGCAAGCAGCGACCGAGGCACGCCGCCGAGGCCCCGGAGTCAATGCCAATGTCGCCTACCCACGTAGAGGAAGAAGAGGAGCAGCT